AAAAAAAAAAAAAAAGCATCACCAATTTTTAATTTTTCTTTTCTTTGTAATGTCAGAGAGAAAGCATGGAAATCCTGCAAAAATAGGTTGTTGAAAAGATTCTCAAGGAGTATCTTTGTTTCTAAAAAGGTTGAACCCCAACCCTAAGGGCCCCTACCGATTCTGTCCTGGGCCATCGTGGAGGAGGTAAATCGCAGGATGTGCCTCCCAGGAGCCAGGGTGGAGAGCACATGGATAGGCGAAGGCTGTTAACCCATATGGTAACTCCCGCTTGCAACAAAGTCAATTCCACTTTACGGGGAATCGAGCTCTGCACACTACCGCGCTGAGCCCTATCCGCCCTCCACTTTACAACTGGGAGATATGCCCTGGGGACATCTTTGTTTCTATATTATCAACATGGTAATATAATATTTATAATGTAATATAAGTGATCACTATCAAAAGAAAATAAATAAGGTTCTATTTGGCTCATCTTGAACAAACTACTTGGCTCAACTTACTCCATTTCATGAAAAAGTAAAAAAGCAAACTTAAAATAAGTCCACACTTAGTCGTGAAATTAGAGAGTCAGGCTCGACCCCTACTTCTCAGAACATTCTAAGTTGAGGTTGTGACATTGTGTCGCTATGCAACTAAGAAATCAGGCTCACCATTACACACTTTCGTTAGATTAAACAATATCAAACATGATAACCGGCTAATTTTGCAACGAGTGTTTTTAAATCGTCTCTAAATTCTTTAAAATTTAACCATACACGACAGGAATGTTGTTTTATCTAGTAGCACGATGCTTGTATTCCTCTCTTATAATCTTGTTATTACGGTTTAGGCTGCTTCCAATTCGCTCATCGCTACCAAGAAATTCACTTTTGCTTTCTTTTCCTCTGATTACTAAGATGTTTTAATTCGACATGTTGTCTTTTGTCTTCCCATAGATTCATCAGTAGTTCGAAAGGTTTTCTATTCAAGAATCTTCGAATATATACTTAGCCCTTGTTTGATTTTCATTACATTACATTCTATTTTTCTCTCTCCTATTTTCAACCACACAATCTTTCATAAAATAATATTATACGTAAATCGAAAATTTTTCTTTCTTTTTCAACCACTCATTTTTAAAAAAACACTATTCTATACATTAAATTTTCCTCGTAATGAGGGCCAAACAGGGGATTATTATCAACTTTTCAAACCATTTCATTGATTACTGTGCCCTTCCTCACATCCCAATAAATGTAATTAATGGATATGTCACGTGTTATAGAGGTTAAGTCCAACCAAAGCCCTTGAGACACAAATATCTGACAAATCGAATATTGCATAGATACTAGACAGCACAACTAATGAAAAATGATTGGATCTCATGCTTACTATCTCATGATGGACTGTACAGTATAGAGCAGTCCAAGAATCTGTATGAAAAATTTTCATAAACTTTTTGCTGTACGTAGTTTTCTTACCTTATTTAGCCTCGTTTAGTCCCCATTAAATTTCATTTCATTACATTTCATTTTACTCTCTCATATTTTCAAGCACACAATTTTTCATAAAATAATATTACACATAAATTGAAAAAATTTCCTTCTTTTTCAACCACTCATTTTTCAAAAAAATACTATTCCACTAATTTTGATTTTCAGATAATGGGGTCAAACGGGGGCTTAATCAAAGATGCTTTACCTTCCAAATGATACTTTTATACACAATGCATCTTGGATTATATTTATAAATTTATAATACAGAAGGTATCGTATGCATGATTTGCTGTAATATAAAAGGTAACATGTGACTAGACGTCTAAAACAGAAGTCTGCCGTTGAAGGACTGTCTCTTATTGAATCTGTTTCCTCATTCGACTATGATTTCTCTCCTTTAGTTCTAAAGAAATTGAATCTGCTTTGTGCTTGAGCTCTTTTTTATATAAAGCTTCCAAAATCAGCTCGACCATGAAGCCATCTAGCGATCGCCTAGGGCCCGGATTCATGCAAGACCGTGAAATCTATATATTTATAATTTATTCTCTTTTAAATAACTAATATTTCATTAAGAAAAAATGAGAGGGGAAAATCAAAATAAATTCCAACACAACAAGAATACCCCAATTCACCTACTCATCAATCAAAATCAAAGAATTTTGCGCTTCATTTTTTTTTCCCTTGTTTTATTCTCTTGTTCTTTTCATCCGCTGAAATGATTTCTTCCATTCTTTGCTTTCTTTGAATCTTCAACTGATTTCGATATGTGGTGAGTTTATCTTTAAGAAGGTTATGCTTTTAGTTTTCTACCTCCTTCTTTCAAAGGTTTTAATTTTAAATGTATTTGTTTCTTTAAAATCTAATAATCCTCTCTTGTATTCGGCTATCATGGTTGAAAATTCTTTTGAATGATCCTAATATTGGTAGCTTGTACGATATCATTTGAATGGTGTGTATCGTACCTTAAATATTATATTTTTAAGTTAGAGATTCACTCTTGATAAAGCATTTATCATTTTTGTATCGAATGATATCATCTATCTTTGGCAACTTCAATCCTTTAACCAAAACACCATTTTTTTTTCATATTTTGCACCAAATATTTGGTGGAATGTCACTCAAAGTCTCAAACCCAATACCAAATTTTGCGCCATTTTACACCATATTTGTTTAAAGTCCTTTTGCCCTTTTTTCATTTAACACCAAATGTTGTCAAGTGTATTTTTATCATTTCATATTAGACATAAATATTAATTCTTATTTATTTATTTTATTATTATTTTTTTTTGTAATAAACTTTAATTATGTAATCAATAATAATGGAGGAATGAATCAAAAAACGAACTCAAAAAGTTTTACATGATTATTTTTAGATTTATTAACAAATTTAATATTTTCGTTAATGAAACATAATTATTTATGTAGTAATTTAAATAAATAAATAATTTTTTAGATATATAAATTGTTAAGAATAAAAATTGAAGAAAATAATTAAATACTGTTCATTTGGTGTAATTTTTAGTGTAATTATTTAGAAATTATTTTTAATTTGACGTAAGATGGTGCAAAACTTACTTCAAATTTTGGTATAGGATTGAAGATGGCTAATGAGTTCCCTTATTTATTGTCCAATAAAATTGCTATGCACTTTAAAATATCTTCAATATATTCCATGAATTGCAATTTATGTGACATCTACGATTTTTAGTATATGTGGTAAATGTATTAAACAACATAGATTGAATTTCATCTTCAATGGGTTACATCTATAATTCAAAAATGCATATTTAATAGGATAAAGAAAAATAACACTTAAAAAGAGAGAAATGAGAGAAAGAAAGAGAAATATTAAATTATGATAATTCGTTCGATCTAAGAAAGTCTCTACATCTAGACAATTCTATTGACAATATCTACTTTTTTCATGACACCTTGCATTGAAGAGGAACTTTTGCAGTATTGTCTATTCTAGCTTCTAGTTTAGCACTAGAGATACTCTTAATGCATTTGACAATAAAGTAGGGACATGTTACGTAAATGGTGATGTATATCTGTTAATGATAGATAACATTAGTTTATGTTTGGCTCGTGTTTATACACTATTTAGAAACATTGAAATTATTTTTTATTTACACATTTTGAAAACCCTACAATTACTACTCATTGCTTATTTTTATCAATTTAAAATTTAAACCACTCATAGAGTGGTTGCACTAGAGAAACTTACTTATACATAACATGTTTAAATTTATAGAAATTTTTATGTACTCTAATAATTCTATCTACTTTGATTCTTCATTTTGCTTTTTCAAAAAAAAAAAATATTTATTAATTTTTCATCACCTTTTATTTAACATGTTTTAAATATTATCATTATAAAGTAGATTAATATCATCATGATAATGAATTATCATCCTTCGTAACAAAAAACTAACATTAAAATAAATCTAATTAATCTAATTAAAAATTTTGTAGATTATTTTTAACAATTGCACTACACGTACAATGGCGTATAATTATACAAATGGCTTTATTCTTTATTTTATTTTTAAACACCGACACCCTATAAAGTAAAAATATTTTATGACCCCGTTTGGTATCCATTTTTTTCAAAATACATTTTTTTCTCTTCTTTTCAACCACACATTTTTCATTAAAATAATATTACACGTAAATCAAAAAAATTTCGTTATTTTTCAACCACATATTCCCCATCAATTTATTATTTCAAAATACATTTTTATTTAAAAATGCATACCAAACACCCTCTATATTTAGATTTCAGAGTCTTCAAAGTACTCAGAAAGAGAACTTGGCCAAACTTAAAAGGGAGGTTTTTATTTTAAAAGATACGAATAGGTATAAATAAAACATAATTATTTATTTTCACTTTACTTGACGTTAGAATTTTTATCAAAATACGCAACTTATTTTCAGCTTTCCAGCTTCTTCATTAAATTTGCAACTTTTGACTGATTAGCCATTGATGGAAAATAAATGCTACTTTCTTACTATAGAAGAAATAATTTTTTACCGTTAAAAATTTAAAACCAACTTTCCTATTATAGTTAAACCAGAAAAGCACTACAATCACAACAAAGAGACAAATACGAAGTCGAGAAAGAATACAGTTTACAATAATAACGTTCCGAAACAGCCCTTCGGCTTTGATCTAGCAACATTACTTGATTTCTTGGACAGGGCAGCTGCCCGAAGAGTTCACAGAGACACTGGCACTAAAGGGAGCGCTACAGTCCACAGATTGTTTGCTGGCGTAGGGCGATGCATAAACCACCCTAGATTCGACATTGAAACAAATCTTTAGCTCAAATAAAAATTGATGGAAAATAAGTAACAGCATCACATTTCCTAACCACACAGATCAAACAACTGCAAAAATATTTGACCGTACAAACAATTTTGCCCATGCTTGTTTTCCATTCTTTCCCCATTAAAATGAAAAATATGACTGTTATTCATCACATCAAGTCACCAAATTTAAATTTCTATCTCTTGTATGGGACCCATAATGATTATATTTTTCATTCTCATTTTTACAAGAATGGGAAACAAACACCATTCTCATAAAATGGTTTATACATTCTAAAAGCAATGGAATGCGTATTTCTATGCACACATGATAAATATATTTGATAAGAGGGATTGGATAGCACTTGACAATATTAAAAGAAAAGAAAATAGTTAAAATTTTAGTAGTGCGTCCACTCTAAGTCGAATATCCAAAACCTATAGCCATGATGTTGTCACGTGAATAAAGTCAATACTTGCCTAAGTCGAGAAATTTCTCTGTACATAGAGACCTACATGTGAACTCAAATCTAACTCAATTCAACCAAGACGCATTTTCATTAATCATTTATTTTAATTGAATGACACAAGTTCTTCCAAAAACTTATACATGATATTGGAAACTTATACAATACAAAGCAATAATTGATTACCTTTCTTTGCGCCTCTCGAGAAACCGAACCAAAGACTTCCTCCGAGATTGAGGCACAGCGCCTGCAAAAATGAGATACCTTTGTTATGCTCACATCAGTAATGCCAAGTCACAATAACAAAAGCTAAAATCTAATCGAGCTTCATCCAAGATATTGTAGAAATTAAATGAAAAAGAATCGAGATACCTGATGAAAGGAAATTAGCAGGAACAGATCCGATCATATCAACTACTTTCAAGGGCTCCACTTTATTTGGAGTTGCACCAACTCCTGCTGGTTTTATAGCCATCAAATCATTGTTGCTACCCAACCCTCCAGCAGACTGAGAAACATTAATAGATGTTACCGATATGGGACTTGAACAGTGCAATGCTGCACCATAAGGCTTAGTTACCACGAACTCATCAACAGCAGGAGACAGGGTCACGGGTGCTTTAATTGGAGATGGAGCGGCAGGGACAGTTGTTCGAGAAGTCATAGGGAACCCATTTCCAGCCAATAACATAATTGCCTGAGCCTGTAGCCATGGATGAAAAATATTAACCTACTAATTTGCCCTGGAATTTCTGAAGATCTTCGAGAATATACCTTTTCCGGGGAAACATTGTCATAAACACACACGGAACCAGAATAGAAGATGGTCAACTGAGCAGGAGCCCCTGAAGTCTTCGAAGCACTCCTACAGAATATACCACTTTGATTCAGCCTTGTATTTAACTAGAGTTGGACAAAACTCTCGAGCTGAATCGGACCTAAACCGAACTGAGTAGTCCTTCTCAAGTTATTTATAATCGAGACAGGTTCGTTTCGGTTATCAATTCTAGATCAAAAACCAAGAACCAAATCTCTTTAATTTTTTTTAATTTATTTACTTTAAATAAGTCAAATTATTTTATTTTTTTAAAATAATTTTGCTAGCTAATTAATTTAGCGCAACCCAAAAATATGGTTTTACTATTTCTAATTTTCAGTTCAAATCCAATTTAATCAAATTAATCTAAGTTTTACCCAAATCTTTTATTCTACCGTAGCGTCGTTTCTACTATTCAGAAAAAATCAAATTGAAGCTCGACATCTCATCTCTTAATTATTGTAAGTTCGCTATCGTCATTTTCATGTGATTTTAACAATCAAATCTAAGAAGAATTCATCAAAGAGAGGCGCAAAAGACATAAGATTGAACTATATTATTTTGTAAAAACTAAGATTGAACATGTCATTGGTTGAATTAATGTAGTTCTATAAATATTAAAAAAATCATAATTATAGTACAAAACCTGGGACCCGACTCGAACCGATCTGAATGGAATCGAACCCGAACGGTTCCATAATTAAATTTGAACTCGACGGTTCTACTTACTAAATATTCGAAAATTTCAAGTTCGAGACCACGCCCACCCCTATATTTAACCTTTTCTATTCTATTCTTAATTCATTATAGTATACGTGCGCAGCAACACAATGTGACAAGCTCAGACATTTAATTTTCCAAAATAGGTAGGACATAAAAATGCCAGGCACGCATCAATAAAACATGTGACCTGTCAGATACCGACACTCCATCCTAGGAGGAAGTTTTCTACTTCAGAATAATTAATCTTTTCTTACTAAGAGCTTGTTTGGTACAGTTAAAAAGCCTATTAAAATCAATTTTTTGACCGTTATTTCACTATTACAGCCGTCATTTTTGAATTCTTCTCTCACAAGTAGGTCCACTTTATCTCTAACGGTCAAAAAATCAATTATCAAAAACCCTACCAAACAAGCACTAAGACATTTAAGCCGTTTTTGTGTCTGATGCATGTCACACCCCAATAGGGCACTACTTCATCCTAGTAGGAACTTTCTACTTCATAATAATAAACTCTCTCTGAAAGTTTCTACTTACTGTCTTTTGACGTACCTCAAACCAGAGGTATCCACAACAGAACTATTGGGAGGAACAGCTAGGACGGGATTTGTTACTGGAACTGCCAGAGGTTGCGTGCCTGCTGAATGTGTCAAACTCTGTCCAGCAGATGAAATGAAGGACTCGTGAATGGGAGTGCAAGTAGATAGAGAAACTGTTTGATTTGTTTGAATGGAAACTGGTGGTAAGCCATGTTTTTCATATAGGAAAAATGTTTTTCTGAATATCAAAAAGGAAAAAAGAAAAACCAGTAAAGAATGTGCAATATATACAGAAAAGTATTCTGTCTAAATCACATATTTCTTTTGTAAAGAGAAAAAAAATTAAAACTTACATTTTTCATTTGGTACATTCTACATAAATGTGGATATAAAAGATTTAATACATCCCAAGTTGCTTAAACTTTGGAATCATTTTTTTTTTTTTTTTCATTCGTTAGTTAAAACTAAAGCTTCAAAAGGATACCGTAACTCACCTGCATGACACCAGAGTATGGTTTCTGATCAGAGTCGAACGCTTCTGTAGTCGTCGTTATGGTCACCAGTCCAGACGATGCAAGGGAATCGAAACCAGTCTTAGGCTTTTCTATTTGAGCACCCTGGAAAGATAACAATTGAGGAACAGCAGAAACCTTGTTTGGAAATGACCACTGCATTGCTGAACTTCTCACTGGACCTATGGAATCAAGATAGAACACAAACCTATACCAACTTAGTCAAATGCATCACTAGAATGTCCAGAAGCAACTACCATATAATTACAAAAGCCAGACACTTTCATTTATTGGCTAATTACCTAATCAATTTGCAAGTAAGCACTCTTTATAGCACACGGACACTTCAACTAGGGAAGCGTATCCGTGTCTGACACATATTATCAACATTCCTCAGACACTCTACCATAAATATTTTTTATTTTTTATTAGAAATATTTTTAAATCAAAGTTATTAGTAAATAACAAATAGGTAATCATATTTAAAAGATTTTAACAAGAATAATTAATAATAAATACAATATTAAATTTATACTATACAAATGAAGAATTCAAAGAATTTAATCAACATGTAGACGACGTGTCACGTTAGTACTTTTTTGAAAAATTGCTCGTCGGTGTATTCGATACGTATCGTGTCGGTGCATCATACTAAGCAATAATATGGTAAAGTTCAAAAACTGAATTAAAAAGATTATAAGAGACCTTCTAAGTATATATATGTATGAAAATTTTCTAAGAGAAAGTATGTTTGGCTCTGCTTAAAACTAACTTAAGTTATTTGTAACTTTTTGTTTCAAAAAATGTTAGATTAATTACTTATTTACTCGAGGTGCTTCATAGGTGCAGCTGTAAAAGGTGTGAACATGTTGAACAACTTAATTAAAAAATTGATTACAATGCACCCATGTGCATTATATTAAGTACTTATTACACTCACCAAATGCAGAACGAGTAAACAATATGAAAAATCATTTGGTCAAAGAAATTTTAAATATGCCACCTTCCATGTAGAATAATAAAAAATATTACACCCTGTTTGGCCCCCATTACCTGAAAATGGTAATGGGGGGAATAGTATTTTTTAGAAAAATGAGTGGTTGAAAAAGAAGTTAAAGTTTTCGATTTACGTGTAATATTATTTTATAGAAGATTGTATGGTTGAAAATAGGAGAGAGAAAAATGTAATGTAATGTAATTTAATGTTAATCTAACAGGGGCTTATTCTATCCCATAACTTATTCCTCTTTTTGGGTGGTACCAAAATAAATTATTTTACATGTCGCTGACATCCGTGGGAGCAAAACTCCTTTTAACTTAAAATATTGATTTAACAAATAAAATAGTGAAAGAGATGATGAGGTGCATGAGGGCTATGCACACCTTAAATAACACAAGAGACATGAAAATTAATATAAAATTCTAAGGACTATGCCAATATTGAAAAATTTGGCACGGCTTCTCATAAGAAATATTTTTTTATCATCCATTTGAATCGTTATCACCTAACGTGAAAAATACACTTCAATTATCAATCCACTCAATAAATAAAAAATAAATATAATATTAAAGATATGAAGGAAAAAAACAATAAAAGTAAAATAAATAGCAAAATTACAAACTGGAGTCAGGGTTCTTTAAGATTCCAAGAAATGAAATCAAAGTAACCTTGATATCACATGCTTTGTCTTGGTTCTTTGTGTTGAAAAGAAAAGCATTCAGACTCATTCATTAAAAACTTTAACATAAAATAAATCCAGTCAGTGAAGAGCCGGTTGAAGACAAGATTTAATTATGCCTAGAGACGAGAATGGTTAATAAGAAATCCAAGCTTCGAAATTTATGAAAGTTTATACTGGGGCCTTTTTTGTTAAAGCTACTTCATTTTCGTAAACCCATAAATTTTTTTCCATTTCAAGATTCTTTTTCTAAAAGAAATGCACAAATTATGTAACTAAACTAGAGCTTTTCTCGAATTTTAATAAAGCATTATATTTTTAAATATGATAAATTCAAGAAAATAGAATAAGATTTGGAGTACCTGAATCCATAGTTTCATCAGGAGTCTCCTGTTTTACTGTCAACCCCATGAAATCTCTCTCCATTTTTAACTCTTCTTCACCTCTGAAACAACTGTCAAATCTCCTTTTTCCAAATGGAAATTAAGGAGGAAAAAGGTATCTGATTTAGGGTATGGAGAATTGGAGGTATCTAAAAATAGCTACTTTGAGGGTTTTGGCTATGGCTGTGGAGAGAGAAAAATGAAGATTTGAATGGAGGGAAAGCGTATGGAACATGTATGTATGTTGCCTAGGAGTTCGTGACACGACAATTTCTTTTCATACTTTTCTCGTGGCCAAATCCTTCACCGGCTACAACAGGTCATAGATTATGTACCACCCAAATATTTATAAGGAGGATCTTTTTCTAATAAATATTACAGATAAGGTCTCCAATATTTTCATAGTGTATGTATAATTCAGACATCTTTTAACTTCTAATTTTATTACATTTTAGACCCTTAAATCGATGGAAATTGTTGATATGATCCTCGAATTGCTACCTGTATGGGGCAATTAGTAGGGAAATGAGAAGCTACGGGTTGGATGGAAGACTACATTTGGAGCCCCTGCTTGAGCTCTTTTACGTGAGAAATGAGTTTTGTAATAGCGATTTTTAGAGTATGCGCGATTAAAAAGTACAAAAAAAGGTTTTGATTTTACGTATAAAATTATTTTATTAATAAAATTAGCCAAGCGGCTTATCGACTCACGAAAACGGGGCTCGTGGACGGCTCGAGTTTGTAAAAATACGAGTTCGAGCACGAGCCGAGCAAGCCGGAGCATTGGGATGAGCCACTCGTGGGCACAAGCCGAGCGGGCTCGAGCGGCTCGTGGCTCTCCAATTTAAAGTGATCAAAACAGTCACTTCTTTTTTTCTTTTTCTTTTGAAAAAGTGACTGTTACGATCACTTTTTAATGGTCACTGAACTTCTTTTATTTTTATTTTTTTAATTTTTACCATTTCTATAGGTAGCCCCATTAACCTCCAATTTTTTCATCTCAACTCTCTTTCTATCAAATTTCAACAATCTTGTGCAAAAATAGCATCGATTATTTAGTCAATTATCTACAAGTATACAATATTAATTCATTTTTACAGTTTATTTAGTTCCAATTTCAGTTTATCGAATTCTCATTTCTAACTACATTTATTAAAATTTGGTCCAATTCTCGTTTCTCGCTATATTTATACTTTTACTGGTTATTATATTTGGATTTCATCACAAACAAATTGATTCACGTTTATTTGTTGATGGCTTATTTGATACGAGATATGGCAAATCGTCTAGGACACCGCAAAGTCAATTTCAAAATGAATTTGGCAGTCTAAATGACGTACCCATATCCAAAGATGTTGACATTCATGGTCATGGAAGCAACAAATCCAATTGATTTGGATGATATTGAAATTCACGAAACTGAACATGAGGACGAAGAGCCCGAATTAGACATTCCAGATACGAGGGAAAAGCGAAAGGGGAAAAAGCAAGCAAAATGTTAGGATCACTTTAAGTTGATGTCAACGAAAAAAGTCATCGATGGCCTCGTAGAATCTAAAGCAGTATGTAAATATTACCAACAAAAATTGACATAGCAAAAAAAAATTGGTATCACCCATCTCAACCGCTACTACAAAACATGTGCGGCCAAACATGAACTTCTTTCAGTCAGTCAAACACAATTGTAATTTGGAAGTCTAAGCACTAATTCTATGACTTCACCCATACCCACGTGAATGTATACGGAGTAGAAAGCTCGAACCGAAATTGTGAAATTTGTTGCCGCCACTGAGTTATCTCTGTCTATTGCCGACAGCCAACACTTCGTCTCGTACGTAAAAGAATATCTATAACCTAACTACGTTAGGATAAGTCAAAATACTCTTCATACCGATTTAAATACAATATTTCATTGTTTCAAAATAACAATTAATTATAACTTTGCAACAATATGATGGTATTATATCTTTAACTTCGGATAATGAGCATGGGTTAATAAAATAGCTTATATAACTACAATCGCATACTGTATAGACCCACTTTGATGCATGCATAAAAAATTATTGCTTTTAAATTTATTGAGTTTCATCACAATGCTAATAATATATATAATGCTATTATCAGTATTGTTAGATAATATAATTGCGAGACTAAAATTCAATCTTTTACGTTTGATAATGCTAGTGTTAATAAGGTAGTTGCCGATAAATTGTGTAGAGTACTGCAATTTGATTTTGGTGTGTATTTGTTTCATATTCGTTGTGTGTGCCGTATTCTGAATTTAATTGTGCAAGATGGTTTAAAATATATAAATGATGATTTTCAATGGATTACGAACGCATTAGTATATATCAAAATCTCCACTAATAGAAAACAAGCATTTGAAGATTCTTGTGCTGAAATAGGGGTGACGACCGCTAAAACATTTGTTAGCGATGTAAGTAATAGATAAAACTTTACTTGCTATTGAAGTCATGTGAATGTTTCGAACATTTAATAGCTGATTTTTATAACAGTAGACACATTAGAAGCGGTGATGACACTATGTTGAATAAATCCAATTGACATTTAGTTTTAAAAGTTAAAAGATTTTTGACATCTTTTTATGAGACCACAAAAATTTTATCGGGTGTTTATTATCCCACAAGATGTACGGTGCTTGAATACCTTTATATAATTGCACGAACATTCCATAAATATCAAATGATCATGATTTTAATGAAATTATAATTGTTATGGATTTAAAGTTTATAAAATATTGGGAAGATTTACTTATGTTATTTCTTTTAAAATGCGTAATAGACCCCCAATATAATTCATCGAAAACTAAACACATAATTGATCAAATCAACAAAGCCTTAGCGTTTAATACACCTATCACCTATAGGAATTTAAAGCAATCATTACGTGAAATGTATGTATTATATATAGACCGAATGGGTGCGAATGTTAGTCGGGTACTCTCTGCACCTACTTCTACTGAAATTGAAGAAGATGACGTCGAAATAATGAATTTATTTCAAGGCATTAATACATATAAATATGATGCAATTGCAATGTGTTCATCTAGTGTCATACTGTCTACATCTGCATCTCATCAAACATCGATCGCAACTCAAAATGCGATAACTGTCGAATTAATTGATTAATTCAATCAGAATATGTTAACAGACAAAATAATTAAAAAAGTTCAGAAGAATTAATTAAATTTTGACGAAAGTATGAAAGACGTTGGCCAATTGTTTCTGTAATTGCGAAAGATCTGCCGACACATCCGATTAGCACTTAGCACTATTGCTTCGAAATCTGTTTTTAGTACAGGTAAAAAGGTGTTGACCGATATCAGGGATCGGTTGAAAGAAATATGTTTTGGAAGCATTAACGGTGCATGAAGGATTGGCAGGACGCTCAAAGTGATATTTGATTTAATTATATTAATCAAAATTTCTTATTTTTTAATAGTTACATTTAATTTTTCTTTTAAAAAATGTACACGTTACAACAAGTTGTTCGCGTACAATTTTTAACTTCGCATAATTAAAATTGATGTAACTGGTCCTAAACCTAGATAAAGGAAAATGGTTTACATATTATCCATTTTAAAAATAAAACGAAAAAATATATTTTTTTGTAAATGTATTTAAACAAAAAAATCTTCTTCATTACATAAATATTTAACACTTTATAAAAAAATATTACTATATAATAGAAATTATAAAAAAAATTGTCTTCATTAAATTATTATTTTTTAAATGTATTTGTTTTCCTTTGTTTTTTCTGTTTAAAAAAATATATAAATGAGCTCGCGAGCTAAATCTCGGCTCGACTGACGAGCTCGGCTTGCCCCCAGCTTGAGACGAGCTCATGTGTTTGTGCTATAGTTTGTCAAGAGTTTGAGTAACTCCGATAGAGTATATTCTATTATTTTGAATGATATCTATAAATTTAGAGAATTAAAATTTTGAAATACTCCAATAAGCTCCTTATATTTGAAATACTTTGAATGCATTTAATTATAAAAAGTGAATTTGGTTATAGAAAACTATATTCACTCTCTAAATTAAATGTTAATTTAAAAAATATCTTGAAGCATGATTCTAAGAGCTGACTCGTTAAAGTAAAGAGTATCTCATATTTAAAGAATCTATTGAAGATGCTCTAATTACTTAAAAAAGAAAAAAGTAAATTGTTTAGTTAAAGCAAAGCGCATGTGATTTGTCAAAGATAAGTCGGCTATGAGAACCAATCGAACAAATCCTCAAAGATTGTCGTTTGAGAAAAAGAATAATTATATTTAGATGGATATAAATATTCGTCTTATACCTCAAACGAGGCGTACATGTTTAGATATTGCATGGTGTGAATTTGTTCCAAAATTTCTAAATGTACAACTACGAATAAAACATGTCATGTAATTACAACTTTTATTAACAGGTTCGATTAAGAATAAAATTTAAATTATTTATTTAAATAGTAAACTGTAACAAAAAAATATAAAACTATGGGACAATGCCAATGATGATAAAATATTCCATCAATCACGTTGTTGGTAAGCAAAGAATTAAAAATAATATTAAATTTGCTAAAAGTAAGTTTGGCCATGTGCCTGCCACCTCGATGGATTTGAAATTTGGACCGACGTTTATACAATTAACGTGTCTAGTCTAGAGTCTTTATTTCATCAGATTTAGCTCCTGTTTGATCCTCATTTTTGGAAAAAAATGTATTATGGAATAGTGATTTATTGTAGAATATGTGGTTAAAAAGTAATAAAATATTTTTGAAATACGTGTATTATTATTTTATAAAAGAATGTGTGATTAAAAATGAAAAGTAAAAAAATGCATTCTTATAAAAATGGGGATCAAACAGGGGCTTAATTATATCAGATTCATCTAATCCAATTAATATATTTAACACGAATCGTGTTTTTTTTTCTTTTTGTACGTTTATTAATTATCTGACCTCCGTTGTATATGGGTAGAGTATTGATCTAAAGAAAATAAATTTAGATAGATTGCTGGTCAATAATGAAACAATGAGTTGGTACATGCATGTGCTTGGAAAAACACTATTAATCTTGCAATACTCGGTAAATAACAAGTCTTTTTGGACAGCGACACAGGGTCTGACTTTAGTATTACAAAAATTATCAAACCTTCATATTGAGTCTTTTGATCGGGAGTATCATTTTTTCTGAGTCAGAGAATTTTCAGAGAGACAACTGCAAAACATACTTTTGATACTACTTAAAT